CAGCTGTTCCATCGCACAGGTGCAGCATGGCTCAGCAGGGCGCTGTGCGCTGTCTGGAAGCGGGGGCCACTGGGGCTGAGCAGTGTCAGGCTCCGGCTGATGGGTGCAGCTGCCCCAGCTCCCAAACAGCTCACACTGCTGAGCAGCGCTGCACCCATGCCATGGGGCAGCTGCTGTGCAGGTACGAAGTGTGAGGGCGGTCCCTATTGCCCCCCAATGCCCCGTGCTGCATGTGGGGGCTCTTCCATGAGCCCTCCAAGGCCCTGATCCCTGCTGCTAGATCAGGTGAGTGCAGGACTTTTTTTTTGTGCTGGGAGGCGGGGCCGGGAGGGGAATGGGGCCAGGCAGGGCAGCGACGGGGGCTTCTCCCACAGCTCCTCCAGCTGTGCCTGCCTGTGCCCAGGCGGGAGGAGTCACGGGAGCCCTGCCCTGCTGCCGTTTGCCCAGCCGGAAAGGGTGGGGGCTGCGATGCAGGCGTGGCTCACTCTGGGCAGCAGCAGGGCGTAGCCCTCCCAGCGCTGTTGTGCCAGCTTCAGCACTGGGAGTGGGGGCTCTGCCCTGCCACTGCTTGCCAGCCAGTGCAAGAAGCACGGGATGCAGATGCGGCAGTGCTGGGAGCGGGGGCTATGTTCTGCTGTTGCTTGCCCCGTTCCACCTGGAGTGATCTGCACCTGCATCCTGCCTCTCCCTTGCCCCAGCTGGGCAAGCGGCAACAGGGCAGAGCCCCTGCTCCTAATGCTGCCACGCCCGCATCCCATGCCCCCCACCCCCCTCCCTGAGTAATGCACCCCCCTGCCCCAGCTGGACACCTTGTCCCAGCTCCAACCCCTCATTCCCTCACACCCCTTCCCTCCCCCTTCCTCCAACTCCAACAGACTTACCAGCTGGTGGCAGCTGTGTTAGCTGCTTGTTTAGTCTATGGCCGAATCTCTGATACGACCGAATCTTTTTCAGAGCTTTTCCAAATTGATTCAGATGCTTCAAATTGATTCAGTGTGTTTAATTTGTCTCCCAATTCAATTTAGAATTGGAGATTTGGTCCCCGAATCGGACCAAATCTTCTCCTAATCGAATTGGCTACCAAAGCTTTGCACAGCCCTACTGGCCATCCTCCGTTTATGTTTGTGGCTGGCTTCTATATACGCATGCAGGATAGTTAGCAGTGTGTGCACCTTAACTCATTCGTTCAGTAAACTGTTTTTTGTTATCGTACTTAACACTTCTGTAGCTAAAGATGCAACTGTTGAATTCCTTTCCTTGTAATGCTGTGAACTTTTTCATCTGAGTCCGTGCTGAATTTTGGCATATACACTTGGTAGCAGTAATGAGCTCTTCAGCATACAGATATGATAATAAAGATAGGCAATTGTATTATAAAATCTTGAAACGAGACCTTAATACTTTTTAGTTATTTCGAAAATACGTCACTCTGTTTTATTTAAGATGGATTTGAAATTAGTTTGTCTGACTTGTTCAAAGGTATTATTTAAGAAATCACTTTCTGTCTAAAACTTTCTTACCTATGCTAATATTAATCCTTGACATTTTTTTTAAATCAAAAGATATTTTCTCTAGGATCTTGAGTGGGACATACTTTATGCAAATTGTTTTCCTTATCTAGTAGGTCTCTGTCACAGCAGACCTTCCCTTATCTAGCAGGTCTCTGTTTGCTGTATAAAGAGAGATTTTTTAAAAAATTTGTAAAATGACACATTTAGAATAGGACTTCACAGGCAAATATAGTACTGGAAAAGATATATGGTCATATTTTGTTGTGTGTTCTCAGTGTTGGTGCTCACTGGACTAAAGGATTAAGAGACAAATGCAGGGAGTTTCAAATATCTGGTTAAATCTATACACTTCTCAGGATTTGGCCAAATAATAGATTTGGCCATTTTACTATCCTTCATTCTAGAAGCTGGTTCTCAAAATAGAATTAAGACAGTCAGGTGTCAAGAGTGGCATAACAATCTATATAGCATGTTACTGTTGACTCATCCCACCTTGGGTAGCCTTTTTTCTGTTTTTTAGCTATAGTTATAATGCCTACAAACTGTTGTATTCTGTTACAGTTTGGGGGGAGACGAGTTGTATTTTTTTTCTCAGCATGGTACAGTTGTAACAAAATCAAGATACCTGGTACTGGATTGATATAAGCAGATAATTTGTTATTAATCTTGATCTAAAAGAAATTGATAATGGTCTTTTAAAATATTTGGAAGGAATTAGATTGTTTTTATATTTATACAAATGACATTCATCCTTTCTTACCTTTTGGTTACTTTTCCAGTGTGATTTGCTCTATGCTCACATATGCAATCTTTTTTCCCTGTAATATAGTTTGAAGCTGGTAACATGAAAAATCTGGTCCTGAAGATAATCTCTGGATCTTTTCCTCCTGTTTCTGTGCATTATTCCTATGATCTACGTAATCTCCTTTCCCAGCTTTTTAAAAGGAATCCTAGGGATAGACCATCAGTTAACTCCATATTGGAGAAAAACTTTATAGCCAAACGGGTTGAAAAATTTCTTACACCACAGGTATGGACATGCATTAAAAAACTATTTTACTATAACCAATTGTACATCTTTATTGTATTCAATTAAAAAAATTCTATTCAAACTAGTAATTTTGTCCAATATTAACATTTATATAAATATTTGATACCAAATTATGGGGCAAAGTTAATACACCAGAGGGCAGAGAACAGTTATAGGCCGACCTGGGCAGGTTAGAATCATAAAAGTAGGGTCAGAAGGGACCTTGTAGATCTTCAAGTCTGACCCCCTGCCTGGGCAGGAGGGAAACTGGGCTCAAGTGACCCCAGCCAGGTAGGCATCGAGCCACTTCTTAAAGACCCCCAGGGTAGGAGCCAGCACCACTTCCCTTGGAAGTTGGTTCCAGATCCTGGCCGCCCTAACTGTGAAGTAGTTCCTACGGATGTCTAATCTAAACCTGCTCTCCAACAACTTGTGGCCGTTATTCCTTGTTATCCTGAGGGGCGCTAGGGGAAACAAGGTCTCCCCCAAACCCTTCAGGTCCCCCCTAGTGAGTTTATAGACGGTCACCAGGTCCCCCCTCAGCCTTCTCTTGTGAAGGCTGAACAGGTTCAGGTCCCATAGCCTCTCATTGTAGGGTTTGCCCTGCTGTCCCCGGATCATGAGGGTGGCCCTCCTCTGGACCCTCTCAATGTTGTCCACATCCCTCTTGAAGTGGGGTGCCCAGAACTGGACACAGTACTCCAGCTGTGGCCTGACCAGTGTCGCGTAGAGGGGAAGGATCACGTCCTTGGCCCTACTTGAGATGTACCTGTGGATGCACGATAGGGTCCAGTTAGCCCTGCCGACCGTGACCTCGCATTGTCGGCCCATGTTCATCTTGGAGTCAGTGATGACTCCGAGATCCCTTTCTGCCTCTGTGCTCTCAAGAAGGGAGTTTCCCATCTTAAAAGTGTGCTGCCAGTTACTACTGTTAGATCAATGGGCGGAATGTAATAGGATGCAATCCAACAAAGATAAGTGTAAGGTACTTCACCTAGGAAGGAGGAATCCCCAGCACACCTATAGGTTGGGGAATGTCCTTCTCAGCAGCTCAGAGGCTGAGAGAGATCTTGGAGCCATAGTTGACTCCACGATGAACATGAGCCAGCAGTGTAACAAGGCCATCAACAAAGCCAGTCGTACCTTGTCGTGTATTAGCAGATGCACGACCAACAGATTGAGGGAGATGATGCTCCCCCTCTGTGCAGCACTAGTCAGGGCGCAGTTGGAGTACTGTCTCCAGTTCTAGATGCCGCACTTCAAGAGGGACGCAGAGGATCTGGAAGAGGTTCAGAGGAGGGCCACCTGCATGATTGGTGGTCTCCGTGAAAGACCCTATGAGGAGGGGTTGAGAGATATGGATCTCTTCAGCCTATACAAAACATGGCTGAGGGGTGACCTTGTGGCCGCCTATAAATTTATCAGGGGAGGACAGCAGGGAATTGGAGATGCGCTGTTTTCCAGAGCTCCTCAAGGAGTAACTAGGAATAATGGATGCAAACTAGTGGAGAATAGATTTAGGTTAGACATTAGGAAGAATTTTTTTACAATAAGGGTGGCCAGAGTCTGGAATGGGCTTCCAAGAGAGGTGGTGCTGTCACCTAACTTGGAGGTCTTCAAGAGGAGGCTTGACAATCACCTGGCTAGGGTCATCTGACCTCAGTCCTCATTCCTGCCAGGGGCAGGGGGTCAGACACAATGATCCATTGGGTCCCTTCCGACTCTATAATCTATGAATCTATTTTATGTTGAGAAGAAAACACCTATTACCATATTTCTGAACCAGATACACTTGCAGTACCCACAACTTGTTCTTTATTCCTAGAATAACTACAGAACAACCAAAAAAAATTAATCTTGGATTGCTAAAATATTGTTTCCCTCTTTTGAGATTAGTGGTTAAATCAGGGGTGGGCAAAATGCAGTCCGTCAGGCCATTCTATCTGGCCCGCAGGGCCCCTAAATATTTAGAAAATTAATATTAATCTGCCCCTAGCTGCCTGTCATGCAGCCCTCCGTGGCTTGCCAAAATCAGGTAGGTGGCCCTCCACCCAAAATAATTGCCCACCCTTGAGTTAAATTGACTAATTTTTCTGTGTGCAGTATCTTATTTGTGCATACAGTGAGACTTCAAGTTAGGCTTTGATTTAATTTAAAATGTGGCTGTCCACAAAATGGGACTGACAATGAATCTGATAGCATACTAATATAGGTTTCTTAAACTTTTGGACCACTTCAGATCAACCATTTTTGGTACAGTTTCACAGAATACTAGTTTTAAAAACTTTCCAGAATGTTTTAAATGCATAGATCAGACCTAAGTCTGAGGAAATTGTTTGGCATATTGAAGTCCGATATGGAAGCCATTGTATTTATTGGAATTATTTTAAATTTAGTTTTTATATTAAAATAACAGCAAGAACAGCAGATAGTAAGCTATACTGCCTTTAGGAAGTATATAAATGAAGAGACTAGAGAAAAAGTTAAAAGGTAACCTTACCCTTTAGTGTACTCTTGTATAGATTGAAAGTTCACATGGAATTTCAGTTATTCATGACATAGATTTTTAACTATATCCAAAGTTTTGTTATAATCTCTGTAGAGCTAAATACGAATTAAACTCCAGAGGAAGGAAGCATAGTAAACAAAGAGATTATTAAATTACTATTTTGGGGCTTTAGCTTCCAGTGTTACCATTGGTTTATAGATTACACTTTTTTTTTTTGATCTACATATGCTTGCTTCCTGAAGCCAGCATAGATTTGGAATTTTCAGTGCAGCCTGAATAGTCATGAATTGATTATCAATAATCTGTGATGAAGGCAATATTTTTTTCTTAGTTGAAATATATTGCCTATGAGAGAACTAGTCCACTAATTTAACCAATTTGTATATCTTGGTAAAGTGATACTTTTAAAAAAATAATCTAAAATATTATTGCCATCTGTAATAATTGGTAATACATAAAGATTAGTATAAAAAGAAGCTAATGGAAAATATTTTTCTCTACTTTTATTTTAGTGTATTTATTCTATTTTTGCTAGTGCTCTGTATAATTAGGTTTGCTGCCTTCTGTGTTCAGGCAGAATTTTCATTTCTTTTCAAGAAAGGAACAGAACCCCCACTCCCCACAGTCATTTAAAATACAGCAATGTTAAACAGAAAAGTATAAAAAGTGAAATACTTACACAAACCATTTAAAAAAAATCAAGTTAAGTGTCGTTAATTTTACTTGAGTCTTTATTCACTGATTCCCAGTATGCTTAATATTTGCCAAGTAATATACCTGAGATTAACCAGATGGTTTAAAAAATTTCTGAGATACTATAATAGGAGTATTCAAACAATGTTTCCAATTCCATATTAATTTTAGTGGGGCTCTGAGCAATGCATAAAGTTGTCTTAGATACATACAGGATTAGGGCCCAGGGATTGTGATTGAATACCATTTGCTATTGTATTTTGACATTGCACTCCATTGCATTTCTAAGTAAGAGGTTTTTTACAAATATATTCCTACACTAAACCTACATAGTAAGTGTGTGTGTGTATGTATGTATGTATGTACTAATGTAATTTACCCACGTTTTAAGCTTATTGCAGAAGAATTCAGTCACAAAGTATTCCAGAAGTTTGGAGCCCATGCAGCACCAGGTAAATAAGCATATGAAAAATGCACTGTAATTTTTTTGAATAGCAGTAGGAGACTGTAAAAATGTGCTATCTATCCATGACTTAACAATAAAAGCTTCAGTTAAGCCACAAAGGAAATGCACTTTTTGGGAAGCATAGGTTTTATTTAGAAATTATGCAGCTATAAACTATGGGCCAATATCATCTGGGCTAGGGAGAGAAATTGCACCTTAACCAGTGTAAGTGATTATAGACCAGTTCAAATCTCTAACGACAGAAGTCTAGTGTACATAAACTGGTTTCAAAGTGGCCAAAACCAGTTTAATGTAAACCTTGATGGATGTAGTATCAAGTATCATCCAGAAGACTGGACGGTCACCTTGCTGGGGTCACTTGACCACAGTTGTCTTTCCTGCTTGGTGCAGGGGGCTGGACCCAATGATCTTCTGGGTTCCCTTCCAGCCTTACAATCTGTGAATCCCAGGATGCTTTGCACCTCTCTCACAAGCCTCCCCCTTCCCCCTCTTGCAGCGTGGGCAGGCTAGCCTTGGCCCAAGCTGTCTGCTCCAGGTGAGCAGGGAGGCATGTTCTAGCACCCCCTAGTGGGCCACTGCAGGTATGTGGCTGCATTTCTGGAATCAAAAGTGAATGTTTGTTCACTTGCTTATCAGTTCAATCTATGCAGCTTAGACTAACCTGTGAAGATTGTATCCATTTAGCCTCAGGCTTTTTGACCGTCTGTACATAGCCTTAAAGTTTACTTTCTTCTTTTGGAGGGTGAGGGGGAAGGAACAGCTGGATAAAAACCCAGATCACTGATTACTGATAATGGACATCAGTGATGGGATAATTAGTATTTTTACTATCCAGGCTATTTCCTCACTTCATCTGCAGAATTTGGTAGTGATCCAGTATTGCTTTTGGAGGCTTCAGTAACAAGACCTGTTGTTCAGTTCAGGCCACAAGAACTTCTGCCTTTGGTATCAAAATGGATTAACGGTCTTCTTCCAAGAATTATTTGCTTTTAAACTTCTTAAAATTTTTACTAGGATTTTTGGTACAACAGCACTTGAGTACATTTCTCTGCTAGGGAAGTATTGCAACAAATCAAGCCTAAGGGATGCTGTAATCTTTTTGGGATCCTCAAAGTCTGTGCCTGACCACTTCATGCTGCTTGAGTCTTGCTCTACTGGGGCTTGGAGCTTTGCATCATAAGGATGCTGGAGGTACAAGTTCATCCATTACAACTTGCAGTTCTTCTTTAAGAAGGTATGACCAGGAGCATAAGGATTTCCAAGGAGGTAATACATCCCAGCTGGTTACAGTTAGTGAGCAAGGGGTGTAAAAATCATTATTTGAACATCTGTCCATTCTTCCTTCCTCCCTTCATCTCTTGTATTGGCCGAGACTTTTTTTTTTCTTGCAGTGGACTGTTTTGGACTCGCTGTTTCACTCCCATACCATGGCATTTCTAGACATGAAGAGATGCATCTCAGGAAGCAGTTTAATGGAAACTGTCTGTTTTTTGTTTCATCCTATGAAACTTCTCTGCCAGGGTGGGAAGTGTTCTGTTTCTGCTTCACTTCCACCCCGCTTCAGTGGACTGATCCTTCCTTATACTTTAGTGTGTATTTTAGTTTGTCTGTACCCAGGTGAGAGTCACCTAAGTACTCCATGATGGCAGAAATCCTTCTCCTCATTCAAAATGGCTTTTTTTTTTTTTTTTTACTTATAATTTCTTAGCAGAAGGGAAAAAAAAATCAGGAACAGAAGCTTGTGAGGAAGACCTAGATCATTTTTTTTTTTTTTAATCCTACATTTAGCAGTTCTCAGCATGAAAACAAAATCAACATTTGTGTGTAAGGGCTTCCTATACAAAACTCTTCCTTTTGGTCTGCACTTTATTACCAGTCATCTAAGGTTAGGTATAGTGAAGTCTAGCCCCAAAATATACCTGTTTATGGGTAACATCAGATCTATGCTCTGCCCAGTCATATCTACTTGTAGCTTGTCAACTGCTGAAAAGATGCTAATTGTTTATAACCAAGAGCTTTTGAGAACTTTTTTGACCCTGTGGTCCAAATAAGCATGGGTTTGGTCATGGTTTTACAACCAAAGTAAAGATTGGTGAAGATCCATATTTCTTTGCATTAGTCATTTCTGGAACCAGTCCTAGCTGGCTGTCTCTAGCAACTAAAGTTGACTGGTGTCATGCATTGGTATTTTCCCTCGAATGGCATTTTGCCTGATATGAATCTAGAAATGAATACTGAGGATATGCCGTGAAGCACAGATGTTTCTCTCTTTCAGCTTTAGTGAATAACAAGAAATTGACGGTTTGCTTTTTTAATGTAATAGACAAAGAAGAATCTGTTGTCTTTCAAGGGAGTTCATGTTAAAATGCAAGAAGTAACTGGTTACTGTAATGGTGACTTGACTTTGAAATTACCACTGACAAAATGTCAGAGTTTTGCACCAATTGACATGCCAGCCATCTGGGTGAGCATTCATAGAGGATGTAAAATTCTATTCCCAGGGTGCAGGGGGAAAGGGTTTGTCTCATTTTAAAGAAGATTTAAGCTTCAATTTCTCTGCAAGGATATTTTTGATAGGATGCTGTTGGGTTAGTTCCCAAATGCATTTCTTAAAATAGAGCTTACTGCCTTAACTTCCTTATAGAGTATTTTTTATTCTATTTTCCATATTACATCATTGTAATTACAATTACTGCTTTTCATTGCTTCCCTCAACTTCTGCTAATTAGTGCTCATTACTTCCAGTTGCTCTGATGAGGCAAGAAGCTGTGCAGCATAATGAAAAATCATTCTGTAAGAAAATTGCTGCTTCTTTCATTTAACTCCCCCTGC